ATGATAGAAATAGAATATATCTTCATATATATGCACACACACAACATACATACACACATACACAAAGTTTTCTCAAGAATACTACAGGGAGAGGCTTACTAATCCATGAAATAGAGGGAAACTAAGAACTAAGCAGAGTAAAAACACAATGATAAAAGGCAGAATGTGCCAGAATCCCCTCATTTTTGGGATTCTGTCCTGTTAAAACCTTTACAATTGAAATTCAGGGTTATATTAATCAGGGAACAATTGTAGCTGAATTTATGTGTTCGTGCCCCAGCTGACATATAATTCATCACTTTACAGGAGCATTTCAGGGCACTCAGCTCCCCCATGATGCTTTTCTGTTAAACTCTTGTCAATCCCCAAATGAATCAAGAATCTACTCAGGAAACAAGTTGGTGGCTGAGGAATTCTCTCTCAAGATTCTGCCAGTGACAATCAGTTTGATGGCTTTTCGAAACCAAGGATAAAAGAAAGCATAAATCAAAGGGTTCATGGCTGAGTTGTAGTAAGCGATCCACACTAGGATTTCATACACATACGTGGGAGTGATGAACCCTAGGAAGGCATCAATGATGGAGTCAATGAAGTATGGCAGCCAAGACAGGAGAAAAGCTGCCACTGCGATCCCCAGGGTTTTGGCTGCTTTCCTCTCCCTCTTGGCCACTCTGTCTTTGTAGCTGTCTGATGCCTTGGCAGTCTGGTCGCTCATTCTCTCAATCTTCTGAGCCTGCTGTTTAGCAATGAGGAAGATCTTAGAGTAGACAGTTATCATTATGAGTGTGGGGATAAAAAATAATAGAAAATTGATGAAGACCCAGCTCTGATTGACTGCGATTTGACAGCCACCCACACAGGTGAGGGCAGTTACTAGATCCTCCAGCCCAGCTTCATTTGCCCCTGTGTAAAGGAGAGAAAAGCTATAGGTGATAGACAGGAGCCAGGAGAAGGCGATGCACTTGCCACAAACAGAAGCCGTGAACCTGGTTGGATAGGTGAGGGGGTCACTGACAGCAATATATCTATCCACAGAGATGAAGCACAAGTGGAAGATAGAAGAATAACAGAATGATCCTTCAAAACAAGAGTGAAATTTGCAGTAAGTGTCCCCAAAGTACCAGCAGCTCTCCACAGACCTCACTGTGCTGAAGGGCATCACGGTCAATCCCACCAAGAAGTCAGCACAGGCCAGGGATGCTATCAGAAAGTTGGCAGGGGAGTGCAGCTGCCTGAAATGGAGAATTGACATCATCACCAGGAGGTTTCCACACACAGCCAGCAGAGCTCCAAAGCCAAAGACTGCATAGAGGATGAGGCGAGGGCCTGGGGAGTATGGGTTCCTGACACAGGATCCGTTCAGGTTCTCATAGCACAGCAGCACAGTTGTGGGAGGCACTGGAGCTTCACTCATGATTCTGACTTGATCCCAGTCAAAACTGTAATCATCTGTAGCCATTTATGGTATTCTAAAAATCCTCAGAAAATATTCAGAGCTTATAGTTGTCACAGTTTCTCTTTTTCTGTGCATATATGCACCAGGTTTTGACATCAATTCAGATTTTCATTCTCTAAAATTATCTCCTTCCTAATTCAGAGTCAACCTTCCCTATTACACGAATTCTCTTTAAGTCTATTTTAAATATTTTCTCTGCTTAATCTAGTCTCACATCTCAAAGCATGAGTCTATTCTGTGACACACATTTAAATTCCACCTTTTATTAGCAATCCTATTGTTTTGGTTAGCCTATGGCAATGCCCTTAGCACTTTTAACCCTCAGGAAAGCAGTCTAATGATGCCAAATACAGCTTGTCCCATGTCCCTCGGATTGAATCCCCATGGTGTAAGGGTAGGCAGGTAGCAGCTTGTTAGTAAGTATGTTGTTTATGCCACAACCAAACTTCCCTCCTTTTAATTTGCTGGTGGCAGCTGACCTTTATGTATGATGTAGGTGAATGTGATACCTGCCGGAACAGCACTTTGCACGGAATTTGATGCTTTGTTCATTGATTAGAGCTCGCTTTTCCCCTCGTGAGAAATTTTATCAATAGACCTCATGTTGAACGGTATAAAAATCCCTTCATAAAGGTTTTTTTTTTCTCCCTTCAGTCATTGATCTGTCTTAGAGAAATGTGGTGCAGAATCTTGAGACCCCTAGTTGTTCTTCAGGTTTAGCTTAATATTTCTGGATTGGGAAAGTGAGGTCAGGGAAAGCAGCAAAAGGCGATTACAACAAATAGAAGTTTCTTCTCCATGTCCTTCGTTTGGTTTAATGGATTCTTTGGAAATGTAATGTATTAATCAAATGTGGAAGAAGTGGCAGGGAGTGGCCCAGTATACAAAGTGCTGGCAGTACACATGTCAGGGTGTGAGCTTGGATCCTCAGAAGCCTAATAAATGCCTGGTAGACATGGCTGCCCACCTGTAATTCCAGAGCTCAGAAGGAAGTCACAGTTGATTCCCATAGCAAGTGGGCTAGTAGAATGGTAGCATTGAAAACTATGGGTTCAACTGAAAAACGTCCCTCAAAGAAGAAAGAGAGAGGACCTGGAAAAGACTTTTAGTGTCACCTACAGGATTCCACATGCACATGCATACATGTGGACATTGCTACAGGCTTCTACATGCACATGCACACATGTGGACATTCCTACAGGCTTCTACATGCACACATGTGGACATTCCACATTTACTTGTGGACACCGTAAATATAATGATAAACAATTTTTCACTCTGTTTAGTTACAAACTCTCTATTTTATTATTGGAGATACTTTGCCTACGGATTAGGATTTTAGGAGCATTGTTTAGTTTTAACTTTAAGTATTTTAGATGCCATAGCTTTTACTATACATCTCAGGGATGATGTGCAATTTATACAGGTCATAATTTTAAACAATTATTCATTTTCTTACTTTACATTTCTATGGCAAGTACCCCAAAACCTGTTTATATTTTGTAATGTTAATATTTTTTCGAGATTCGGTTTTCTTAAGCCAAGCTAAGCATAGGTGCAGTTTTTTTTAAAATTTTTTTATTTATTAAAAATTTCCACCTCCTCTCCGCCTCCCTTTTCCCTCCCTCTCCCTCCCTCTCTAGTCTTAAGAGCAGTCAGGGTTCCCTGCCCCGTGGGAAGTCCAAGGTCCTCCCCTCTCCATCCAGGTCTATAAAGGTGAGCATCCAAACAAACCAGGCTCCCATGAAGTCAGTCCATGCAGTAGAATAAAAATCCAGTGCCATTGTCTTTGACTTCTCAGTCAGTCTTCATTGCCAGCCACGTTCAGAGTGTCCATTTTGAACACATGCTCCAACACTCCCAGTCCAGCTGGCTAAATGTAGTATTTTTGACAGGTGCCTTAATATAATTTAGTAAGCTCTCAATTACTACTTGAAAGTGGACCATTAAAACACCATTTTCTGCTTAGTTTTTGTGGGTTCCAGGGAGAGCAGATGCTACAGAGTAAGAATCTTTGACGGCACCCCCACTCAGCTCAGCATGTCCCTTTCCTTGCTAATTCCCCAACTATCTCAGCCATTTTTGTTCTGTGTCCCTTGAGCTTCCCTTCTTTGCTGCCTGTGTCAGAGTTGGAGTGCAGACAAGCTATTGTTCATCACGTGCAGCCCCAGTCAGAAATTTTACCCTGCGTCACACAATTTTTATTTTGTTTTATTTTAAAGATTGATTTTTTTCTCTTCATTTAGCCCATTAGACATTGTAACTTTGATTTTGATATCTCCTTTATCTCATAGCTCCCTTCTTTAGGCCATCTTTTCAGAGCCTTCAGATACCCCAAAGGGAAACACACAAAACTAAAAATGAAATAAATCTTTAAAAGAAATGGTTTAAGCCAGATGTTGTGGCCCATTTGGCTTAAAGGAAAGAAGGAAGGGAGGGAGCGAGGGAGGAAGGGAGGGAGAGAGGGAGAGAGAGAGAGAGAGAAAGAAAGAAAGAGAAACAAGTAATCAATCAATGAGTGAACTGAACTGATATTTCTCAGAAGCTTAAATATAAATGGCTAATAATTACCCAAGAAAAGTGCACATTCTGAAACATCAGGGTAGTTCAAACCACAGCTAAATGAGAAACCTGTTACCCAAGGAGAATGGTTAGTACAAAAAAGAAAGAAAATAATAATAAAATAAAATAACTAATGCCAGAAAAACTGTAGAGAAAAGGGCATCCTTACAAACACTTGGTGAGAAAATAGACTATGAGGGTCATGGGAATCAGTGAGAAATCTCTTTAAAAACTAATGAATGGGGCTAAATGTGTTTAGCAAGCCAGACATTTGAGAACAATGCCAGGGATCCGCATGGTGGAAGGAGAGAACTGACTCCTGAGGGTTGCCTCGGACTGCCCTACACTCCACAGCAAATGCACAAGTCAGGCTCCCACCAAAAGAAACAAACAGACCAAGAAATATATGTGATTAAGTAAAAGCTGAAAAAAAAACCCTGCAGAATGGAACTAAGGTATGATCTGGCTATACAGAGCCTAGGAGTATGCCTGAGAAAATGAAGCCAACAAACAAAACAGACACCTGGGTTCCCATATTCTTTACAGCTCTATTCTCAAAAGCCATAATGTTGAATTTACCAAGGTGTCTATTAACAAATGGGTAGATGTTAAAACACTGTGCACATCCATAGTGGTGTGCTGTTCAACTATTAAGAATGAGATTCTATCATTTGCAGGAAAATGGATGAAATGAAAGACAGCAAATTTGACAAAATAAGCCAGGCATGGAAAGGAAAATGTGTTGTGCTCACATTTGCTGATGGGAGCTGTAAACCTTCCCTGGTTGTGTGAGCACCAGGTTAGGTCCTGGATCTCTGAGTGCGTCACTGTAGTCTGGAGGCTGAGCCCAGCAGCTGTCATCACACTGCTAATTGAGTATATCGAATTACGTCATGAACACTATAGATACTGTTTAGCTTAACAGAAAAACAGAAAGTTGAGAAGCTCATGAATGTTCACAGAAAGAAAAAAATTAATCCTGATGGCTGAAATCTGTCCTGCATCTGCTCCTGGCAAGTGCATCGCCTTCTCCTGGCTCCTGTCTATCACCTATAGCTTTTCTCTCCTTTACACAGGGGCAAATGAAGCTGGCCTGGAGGATCTAGTGACTGCCCTCACCTGTGTGGGAGGCTGTCAAGTCGCAGTCAATCAGAGCTGGGTCTTCATCAATTTCCTGATATTTTTTATCCCCACACTCGTAATGATAACTGTTTACTCTAAGATCTTCCTCATTGCTAAACAGCAGGCTCAGAAGATTGAGAGAATGAGTGACCAGACTGCCGAGGCATCAGACAGCTACAAGGACAGAGTGGCCAAGAGGGAGAGGAAAGCAGCCAAAACCCTGGGAATTGCAGTGGCAGCCTTTCTCCTGCCTTGGCTGCCATACTTCATTGACTCCATCATTGATGCCTTCCTAGGGTTCATCACTCCCACGTATGTGTATGAAATCCTAGTGTGGATCGCTTACTACAACTCAGCCATGAACCCTTTGATTTATGCTTTCTTTTATCCTTGGTTTCGAAAAGCCATCAAACTGATTGTCACTGGCAGAATCTTGAGAGAGAATTCCTCAGCCACCAACTTGTTTCCTGAGTAGATTCTTGATTCATTTGGGGATTGACAAGAGATTCATAGCAGAACATTACCGGAAAGATTGAAGGCCTAATCTGATTCTGTATAGTGAATTATGTTTCAGCTCTGACCAAAATATTTACATTTACCTATGATTTTTTTCAATAAATGTATACTTAGTCTTTATTTGTAATGGCATTGGATGACCGTAGATCTAACCATTTTCCCCTGTGTTTTGTGCTGATTCGCATTGCTTTGTTTACTGTAACTCCTTTTCCTGACTTTCTAAAATTCTTGGCTTTTGTTAAATTTTTTAAGCCTCATTTTTTTAATATATAGTCATCAAATCTCTTAGTAATATATTTCTAATACAGCATAAATGAAATGTAGAGACCCTTATGGGCTGTATCTTCCTCAGAGAAGGGGTATGTGTCATTCTCTACTCACTGAGGCCCAGATTTATACTTTTAAAAATGTAATATTTGAGGTCAGGAAAAATAAAACAAGAAGTTTGTGTATTAACTAACACCTGCTCCATTGTTTGCAGAGAGAAAAAAACATGTCACAAGTAGTAACTTCTGTCCAGTGATCTGCTTCTCGGGAGCAAACCCATAGAGAAATGGTCACAGCCCAAAAGCTTTACAAGTTATTATTTGTTGAATTCAAGGATTTTGTTATTCTTTTTGCAATGGGATTCATAAATTAACTTATTCTTCTCTTATTTTGTTAGATTGTTATAGATTTATAGAGGTGTTCAAAAATATACATGAGTCAAATTAATAATGTATTCAGAAGAAGAAACCACTAAGATAAAGGACAAACTATGTAGTCACCCTTGCGGGAGAATTGTCTGTAAGCTGTCAATCATGTTTTAAATAAACGCTGATTGGCCAGGCAGGAGGTATAGGCAGGAAAGCCAGACAGGAAGTAGAAATGATGCAAAGAGAGCAGGAGAATTCTGGGGAGGAGGAAGTTGATTTCTCCCACTCCTGCCCAGATCACCGAAGCAGCAGGATGTGAGCTGCCCCACTGAAAAAGGTACTGAGCCACATGGCTAAAATAGATCAGAATAATGGGTTAATCAAGATGTGAGAGTTAGTTAATAAGAAGCCTGACCTAAAAGGCCAATCAGCATTATAACTTATAGAGATTGCAGTGTGATTTTTCTCTGGGACTAAACAGCTGGGGGGCAGGGCAGGGCAGAAACCCCAACATGCAGACCCAGCCTTCTCATGTTACACACGCTGAGTCTGAAAAACACATTTTCATAAGGATCCACTGATGTATTTCTAAAGCCCACCAAAAGTCTGAATGTACCATAAAAAATATCCTGGATAATGTCAACTAGGTGTTTTACAGATGACTAGGTTAATAATAATGTAGAGGGCACTGTACAGCAGAGGACAAACAAATTGCATACCTTTTTCTAGAGTAGCATGTTTCAGACAAGAAATTATAAAATGCCAAGCCTTGGCACTGGGGCAAGAGTTCTGCAGTTCAGAGCACTGGCTGCCCTTCCTGAAGAAATTTCATGACATTTCACAGTCATTGATGACTCTAGCCCCAACTGTAACTCTGGCCTCTGCACATATGGCAAGCACATGGTGTACAGACATATGTGCAAGAAAATAGTCCATACAAATAATAGAAAAATAAGGTATTTGCCAAAGTTATGGATACATATTGAAATGTTCTTACTTGCTATTTTTTTCCTAATTTCTACATTGACTTTCACCATGGATACTTATTATTAATGATTACAGTCTTTTATTATATATATTTTAATTGATAAAGATTTCCATTGGAGATGGTACTATATCTGATCTTTATTTGAGACAATTTCTCTGTAGTTCAGACTAACCTATATTGTAACTGCAAGTAATCTCCTTGCCTCTGCTTCCAGAACGTTGTGGTTACAGGCTAAGCTACCACACTTTTTCCTTGTTTTTGTTTCTTATTTTAATGTATTTGAGGAAGTCTGTCTTTGTTTTATTGACAGGTGACTAAAGGCTCCTCAGGCTCCTTAGTGTCCTCTGCTCATAGCTCTTCAGTTCAGATACTAAACATCAGCATTTTTTTTTTTACTTCAGTTGTTTCAGTAATGGTGACTTTTCCTGCAGCCTTCGAACAGGATTCCTTCTTCACTTGAGTGACTGTGTACATAAACAAAAGCTTTACAGTAATTGATGCATACTGTAAATGTCTGTGATGTGGGATTCCCCTCTGTGTGCTGTGATTACCATTAATCAGTAAAGATACTGCTTTGGACCTATAGCAAGACAGAACATAGGTAGATGGGGAAAGCTAGGCTGAATGCTGGGAGAAAGAAGGGTGGAGTCAGGGAGACACCATGGAGCTGCTGCCAGAGTCAGACATGCTGAAACTTTACTGGTAAACCATTGTCCCGTGGCAATACACAGATTAGTGGAGATGGGTTAAATTAATATATAAGAATTAGCCAATAAGAAGATAGAGCTAATGGGCCAATCAGTGATTTAAATAATATTGTTTCTGTGTGATTATTTTGGGGCTGAGCAGCTGGAAATGAAACAAGCGGCCTCCTCCAATTATGTCTGCATTCAAGAGTAATTCTAATATTTAATTCAGTATTTTCAAAGAAACAACTCCTTTTTTAGTAACCCTTTGTGCTATCTAGTTTTTATGTCTAGAGTTATTTACAAGGATAGAACTTCATTTGAGAAAATGCCTCCATATGCTCTGACTGCAGGGCATTTTCTTAATTAGTAATTGATGGGGAATGGCCCAGCCCATTGTGAGTGGTTCTACCCATGGACTGGTGGTCCTGGGTTCTATAAGAAATCAGACTGAGCAAGCCATGTTGATCTAGCCAGTAAGCAGCACTCCTCCCTGGCCTCAGCATCACCTCTGACCTCTGGGTTCCTGCCTTGTTTGAATTCCTGTCCTGACTTCCCTCAGTGATGGGTTGCTACCTGGTAGTGTAATATAGGCTGAAATAAACCATTTCCTCCCAAAGTTGCTTTGGTTATGGTATTTTATCCCAGCAGATTGGATCCCTGCAGGTGTCATAGCAGACAGGGAAATGAAGAAGTGAGAATAAAAACTCAGTTCAGATTGACTGTGTCAACCTGCATCAATTTAGGGAGTTTGAAACATAGCATATTTAAACACAATAGAATTTGGGAAAAATTTTCCAAGCAGTAATCATTCCAATTCTAAGCACACAATAAAGCTTAAACTACATGTGACCATGAAGGTGTCTTCTATGGCTAAGCAGTCTAGATCTATTATGGTTTCTACACGAGACAGCTTGGAACCCAGTAGCAGACATGCTGACTCCAGAACTGGAAGCAGAAAGCAGGGAGAGAACTTACAGTTGCTGAAGTCTATGTGTGAGTTTATGGGATGTTTATTCTGTGCTGTGAACTGTTTTAATTACAACAACGCATTTATTCTTAAGTGTAATCTGGTAGAGCAAGTAAGACTTCCTTTGGTCTTGAGTATACTTAGGTGAGAAGAGGTCAAGTCTCACGTCTAAAGTCATCATAACCAGATGTGAACATGCACCACCTAGGTTTCAGATGATGCGGGAGAATTGTCTGTATTCTGTCAATCATATTTTAATAAAACGCTGATTGGCTAGGCAGGCAGTATAGGCGGGAAAACCAGATAGAAAGTAGAGGTGATGCAATGAGAACAGGAGAATTCTGGGAAGCAGAGAGGTTCTTCTGCCACTCCTGCGCAGACCACCGAAGAGGCAGCATGTAAGCTGTCGCACTGAAAAAGGTACCAAGCCATTATGGCTAACATAGATAATGATAATGGATTAATATAAGTTACAAGGACTAATAAGAAGCCTGACCTAATGGGCCAATCAGCTTTATAACTCATAGGGATCTCTGTGTGATTGATTTTCTTTGGGGTATGCCGGCTGTGGGGTACCGGGTGGGACAGAAACCCCAACAAGCCAGCCCTCATGCTACATTCAGAGAGCAAGTTGTATGCTCCTAAATGTTCCTCCCATCACAAAGAAGAAGTAGACCAAGTTGATTAGAGCAAAAATTATGAAACATGTAAGTTTCACATAATTATCAAGAGAAAATATGATTTTCCTCAAGAAAACTGTAATTAAAGCCCATATTTATACCTGTGCTCTTATGTACATATACATGTTCGTATTTATATGTGTGTAGAGTGATTCATATATATATGTATTATGTGTGTGGGAGTATGTATACATGTATGTGTGTGTGTGTGTGTGTTATTTCATTTTTCCCATTAATTTGACCACTTCTGACTTTCATGTTTTAAGTATGTCTTAGAGCATGTCAGTGAGAATTTAGGAATAATGTAAATGAAACTTTGCATTTGGTCATTGCAATGTTTAGGTAGTATACACGTGATTCAACCGTTCGATTACTGAAATGTGGAATTACCCCATTACTTATTAGAAAACATCTATATCTTGGGTCCCCATGAGATCTTACTCCTTCTTCCGTACTTCTCATGGTGCCACGTGGTCTGGAAGCTGATGTCATTTCAGGACCTTGCTCCACCCTCAGAATAATGTAGATTCTGGTTGGTTACTGCCTATGTCTTGCTCTTGTGGTTTTGGAATATGGACTCTGAATATGAACTCAGGAATCAAGTGATTACATGTTGTTGACTATTACACTACAATAAGGTTAAATTTCAATAATTAAGTCCAAATATAGGAATTTAGAATGTATCCAAGAAGCAATTTGCTTATCGGTTGTTATTTATATTCATTAAATAAATGAGATATCTCAAAACAAGTGATGGCATACTATGGAATATTTAAGTTATTCAAAAAAGGAACAGAATTTAATAACCAAATTCTTCTTACTTCTAGTTGTACCATGAAACCTGACAAGTCAAATGTGTCTCTAGTTTTATTTTAGTTTAAACTTGGTCTACGGAAAACACAAAGTGGCTTTATCATTTCGTCTGTTTGCTCTCCCAGCATCTTTGATAAATCCACTAGATAGGTTCTACAGTCTAATACTTAATCTATAGATTTAAAAG